CCCATTCTAAGATCATAAGATAACAAAATACAACTCATTTTATTCTTTTGTAAAACTTGCACAACTTGCATTTTGTTATCCATAGACCATAATAAGTCTTTATGCCAGTGTTCTAATTATAAGAAGAATCCATAATCGTCAAAAAAAAAAAAAAAAAAAAAGTTTAAAAACGCTTAGGCAAAAAAGCAGCAATCTCATTATTTGTTAACTTGAAGAAATCTTATTCGAAAAAAGACGACACAAAAATTGTTCAAACCATGACTAACTCTTTACTTTGACACCTTTTTCTCTTAATTTATCTCTAACTTGAAGATATAGGCAAAGTTAACCTATATTTTTTCGCAGCTTCACATATTGCCGCTAGCTCGTGAAAAGTTATATCATCTGTGTAACAATCACAGCTAAGGTTGAAGTGTTTTTCATAGGTTTTTATAAATGTAATTATGCTAGTTTGCATTTTGATGTAATCCTTTACACGAACAGAATGTTGCTCTTTTTTTCTTTTTCTTTTTTTTTTTAAATAATCTCGATCAATTTTAGACCAAAAGACAGTTTTAAAAAGGTCGATTAAATTGCTAAATATAATGTTACTTTAAACAAATAAGAATTACACTAAGCACCTATTGTAATACTCCAAACTAACTCCAAACTAAGGAAAGTTTTTTTAAAAGGAAAATTTAAGGAAAATTAACATATCTCTTTCACATATGAACTTTATCACGCTTCAAAAAAAAAAAATCTCTCGATAGATATATATTATGAAACAAAAGGATGAACTCTTACAACATCTCTAATTTTTACCTTAAAAAAAATCTCCAATTCATCTATTAGATAGTAATTAATAGCTGGAGGGAAAGTCTTAAAAGGGTAATTCGTTTAACGATCACATGCTCCAGTAATACAAAGGTCTTAAGTCTGGCCTCCAGACCAGTCCAACAAATGTAATTTTTTTGTAATTTAGTGTAACATTGTTCGTTTGTTTATATAACAGTTAGTTTATTTAAGTGTAATATTTAAAAAAATATAGTTTAACACATATAATATTGAGTGTTAATAAAGTGAATGTTAAACACACGATAAGGAATACGAAAAAATTAGACTTCGTTCACTTTGTAGATTTGAATTTTCAATTCGAGTTCAGATGTGACATTTTATGAGAATTTTTTACTGTAATAAAAAAAAATTAAATGTGACATTTTTAAAAAAAATTTTATTATAAAAATTTAAAATTAAAAACTCAAATCGATAAAGTAAACGAGTTCTATATTTATATCTAAGTCTTTGTCTATATATATGCGCTCGCCCGCGATATATAGGCTTACTTTCGCGTTCGGCAGCCGAATTAGAAGCCGCGGACATGTGTGCTGCCAACGCATAAAGGAAGCGACAGTTGTTGTTTGTTCATTCGTCAGATGGTTCTTTTTTGCTGGAGAGGTAGGTTATAGTATAGACATAGGAAGTTATAATTATTTTATTTATTCGCGGGTATAAGGGTAATTATGAAACATATTAAATGGAAAGAAAGTTTTTTTTTAATAGGCGGAAATGACATGGTAGCCTTTTTCCTAATATGTAACCTTATTTAACAGTGTGTAACATTAGTGATTCTCGTGGTAGAAAATTTTAAACATATTTGTTGACAGTTTGTGTGTAACATTGAGTATAACATAATGTATAGTTTATATGACCCTATTATATCTTTTAGGAATTGACAGTGCGACAAGATACTTTTGAAGAAAAACATAGAATAACCGTTTCTAAATGTTGTTGATTGTCGTTACAAATTGTTAAGAATTGTGAAAGATTTGTTAAGATGTTTAAAATGTCAAAGTAGTAAATTTTCAATGTAATATGGGTTGATCATACAATGTTTAGACGAAAAATAACGTAAATGCAAGAAGTGTGATTGTGACGAGGAACGTATCCATTAATGAGCAATTAATAAACTAAAGAGATGTTATATGAAGATCAACTTGTGAAGTGTAAAATAAAGCATCTTGGTGTGGTTGTGGATAATGAGAATTATGGCACAGATTAGAATCCAATCATGCTAACCAGACTAATAACAAAACGAGTATAACCACGTTCAGTTATGAAATGAACAAATATGAGCATAATCTCAGTTAAAATTTTTTCATTCAAACATAAACCAACATATTGTAAACAAAATTGTCAGTAGTGGTCCTAAGTAGGGATAGCATTTGTATAGAAATTTACTATTCATAAACGCTGGAAGAAAATTCTATTTGTAGTTTCAAGGATACCTTTAAAAAAATAAATAAATACAAATTCTCATTCCATTCTTCCTACCTAAACATTCTAAACTTCTTATTAATCACGAAACTTTCTATTGTTGGTCTGCATCACATGTAGATAATACAAAAGAAAATTATTTTAACATACATATCTAATTTGCATTAAATTTCTAATTAAGGGTTGTCGTATTAAACATTGAATGAATGATCAGATTTCAATGTAAAAACACCACTTCTCTTAGGGCCAAAACAAGATACAACTACATAGCCTAGAGGTTACATTCTATGTTAAAAAAGGTTACACATAGGAAATCAAAGGATTTCGGAAGACTTAATCAAATAGGGATTTAGTTTAACATTAAGGTATTTTCTAACAAGATTCCTGGTCATTGGTACCCAAAAATTGGACTATTCAACCATCATGCAAGATGGACACACACTTATTACCTACATGTTACATGTGAATGTTAAGCATGTTACACATACGAAAACAGTAATACCCATTCAAAGAACAAAAGAGCGATCTTCTATTTCGGTATTCCCTCTTTTTACACATCGAGGGATTTTTTTTTTTTTTAAAAAAAAAAAGAAAAACTAATTATAACACATACTAAAGTCTACAATATGTGAAAAAACAACGACGTTCTTTTATCAGAAACATTTGCATGGGTTCATTCATGTGATACCATTTAAAGCAAATTCTTGAGTGAACATTTAACCCATAGGAAAATCCACAAATGAAGATACCCATACCTGTTAGAGAGATTGTAATATATCTCTCAATTTTGATATCACAAAATTAGATTAAAACACATTCAGAAAGAGTGGGTTGACACAAGCACGCGCTGCAGTGCGCAGGAGTGCGTGCTGCAGCGCACGGACGCGCTGCAGCCTGTGCAAAACAGACCTCTCGGGTCTGTTTTGCTAGGCCCGTGCGCTGCAGCGCGCCCTGGGCGCTGTAGCAGCCTGCGCAAAACATACCTCTCGGGTCTGTTTTGCTAAGCCCGCGCGCTGCAGCGCGCCTCTTGGGCGCTGCAGCGCAAATTATTAACGGAAAATGTGTTTTCGTGTGTTTTGTGATATACTTTCTCACATATCTGAGCACTTATTAACAATAGAAATAACTATTGATATAAGTGCATCAGCATATAAAAGATAACCATCAAATTGAAAATGTATCTTTATGTGAAAGGTTGTAACACTTAAAGAGGATGGATACATCCCTGTATTTATTTGATAGACTTCAGAAAATACATATATATAATTGTTCTGGAACTCAATATTTTTTGCTGGATATTGTGTTCAATGGTTTGTTGTATCTTGGGGATAATTTGTCATTTAAAACTCATTAGCAAACTTTAAGAAGTGAGGACAAATAAAATCTTAAAGGAAAATATTCCTATACGCCTCAAACTCTCTTTCTGCTTTCTCTATTCTTTTCATCCTCCCAATTCTGAATTTTTCAACGATACCTAATTTCTCGCAGAAATCATTGTAATCTTCAAACACAATGAGTAACCCGATTCATATTGAACCTTAAACAACTCCGACCACAAATTCGCATAGGCTATCCACGTTTCCCCCCAAAAAATTACGGCACAATTTCCTCTGTTGAAGCTGCATACGAACCACTCCTTTGAGAATTAGGAATCTAAAATTAACGAGAAGAAAGTGAAGAGTCCAAAGAGGAAATTTCTCAGAAACGACAAGTCATTTCATTGTTGTATGATCTCATTATTTTTTTCAGCATTTTTTTTTTCCAATCTGTTCAGTGTCAGACTCCAAGGAAATGACAATAGGTGCCTTTTCATTGCTATTCAAGCCGTCAATTTCCAATCTAACGATCAAAAGATGTCGCCGGACCAGAAACGCCCAAAAAAAAACCTGCCGGATGCCAGAGTAACACACACACACACACACACACACACACACACATATAATCAATGGATGAAAATATCAACAATGAAGTTGAAAGCAGAAAGGAGAAGTCGAGCAGAAACTGTGAAAGGACTCGATGAATGAAGAAACAATCTCATGCATATCAATTCTAGCACCAAAAAAAAATTCATGCATATCAAGGAAAGTGAAAATATTAAAAATAATAGATGTGTTTGAGTTGGCGACTGCATTGTCAAAAGCTAGGGGGAAACAGAAGAAATAGTACAAAGTATGGTCTTGAGATATTTACAGTGTCAAAAGTAGGAAAGAGAGAAAGAATAACGGGCATCATAACAATAGAGTAAGAAAAACTAAAGAAGAAATTAGAGTTGAAGAGAGTTTCTTCTAGTGTTGAAGAGAGTTTCTTCTAGTGCTTATTGTTTTTTATTTTTTAATCGTTAAATTTGTATTAAAATTTGTCTGTTTTGTATATTTTTTAATTTGGTGTGATTTAAATCAGATTCAACGATCAAAAATTGAGACTACCGGTAAAACAAACTACTGGAGAAACTCTCTTAAAGTAAAATAGTTGAGCCAAAAATAAATAAAAAATAAACTACCTGGATTTATTTTATTATGACAAACAACATTTCAATTAGGGTTCAATAGCTAATGGACTTTAATTAATGAAAGGGAACACCTCAAGTTAGTTATCAAGTTGAACATTTAAAATTTTAATTTCGACATTTGGACCCTAATCGTTGTCCATTAAATGGCATCCATTACGTGGAATGCATAGCCATAAGCCAATGATTGTCAAATGCACTTTTGCATGCCAAAATTAAAATTTGGGGTTTAATATGCAAATAACAAAAAACTTTAAGGTGCATTGATGCAAAATTACCCTTTCCAACAATATTACATATATGATAGACATCTTTTCCCTCCTAAAACTGGAATGGACTAGACCTTTTTGAAGCTACAATTTTTCCTTTTTATTCTCTCTAGATATAAACACATGGGCAATATACATCTTAGAAGTCAGGGGAAAAAAAAAGAAAAGAAAAGAAAAAACCTTTTTTTTTTAAACTGTAAACGGTTTATGTATACTTAGACATATTTTGTTACATCTAAGAGTGGTATTTTTCATTTTCTAGTGGTTAGACATAATAAACCATACCAACTTCTAGCAAAGAAGTATGAGGCACGTTCAGTGCAACATCAGGCCCTCTGCAATTTTTGCTTAGGAAAGTATACACTATATCTATGGCCATTTTCTTCAAAACGGACGACGATTTCTTCGATTTTGCGTAGGAATGCCCGAGAATATAAGCGACGCCGGATTCTTTTGCATTCAGTATCTGCAAAGACTCATCTTTGCCAGCTTGGAAATCACAAGAAGGCCGAACCATGTTGTCTTCTTGATTTGAGTTGATGAAAGTGTGTTCTGTATTGTCCATGTCTCTAAAGCAATCTGTGCTAGTTCCTCTCGGATCACATTCTTCCTCTATTTCTACAAATTGTACTATTCCTGAGACTAGTTTATTCTCAAAATCATAGTTTTCTTGTAAAAGATCTTTGTAGCCATATCTCAGAATGCATCTGAACATGCTATACTCTTTAGGCCCCATCCTAGTGATAAGAAGGCGCTCCACTTCGCGGACGTAAGGAACTTGGACACATTTCACACATATGAAGACTAACACCTGATGGAAGGCGGGCAAATTAGTAACAAAGTGTCCGAAAACAGCTGGGACGCCATTAGTCAGATTGGTGTAAATGAGCCCGATTCCAGGGACACGAACCATGCCAAGACTAGGCCCCAAGGCCACTATCCTGTCCATGGAGACCTTGTTCTCCACATCAAATTGGTGTTTCTTGAGAGTTCCATAGTTCCATATGTACATTACAGCCATGAAGATCAAAGACAGCACAATTGGGATCCACCCGCCTTCTGGGATTTTGTTGATGCAAGCTGAAACGTAGAGAAGTTCAATTGATCCAAAAAACACCAAGAATGCTATAGAACTTATCATCTTTTTCTTCCACACTATTATCATCACTAGAGCCATTAAGCAGGTTGTCATAAACATTACGGTTGTGACTGCCAGTCCTAAAAAAACCCAACAAAAATCATCAAAAATTTATTAAGAAATGATGAATCTAAAAAGAAAAGAAAAATAAAAAGAAAAATGTTTACCATATGCATGGCCCATCATATTTGTGTCTCTAAGTCCTATTGTCACAGCTAAACAAAGGCACATTAACATCCAATTGACCTCTGGAATGTATATTTGACCATATATTTTGCTTGAAGTGTGAACTACTTTCACATGTGGAAAGCAATTCAGTGCACAGCACTGGCTTATTAAGGAGAAGGTAGCTGAGATTGCTGCCTGACTTCCTACTACAGCTGCAAAAGTCGCCACAATGAACACCGGCCAAAACACGGCTTCTGCGAAAAATGATAAATTCACATCAACACAGCTCAAAAAGATGGCAAAAGAAAAAAATTGGGAACTCTATTCAGTTTGGTTCTTGCCTGGTATGGCTTTATAGAAGCTTCTCTGAATATCCTCATGGTGCTTAGAGAGGAATGCAGCTTCGCCCATGTATGCAAGAATCAGTGATGGATATACTAGAAATGTGAAGGCTATCTGGAATAATTAAAGTTTTAAACCTAAGATTAAGATGATATAGGAGATAAAATTTTGAAGATCCTAAAACATTACTGTTCAATAAATAACGACTACAAATTTACCTTAATTGAGAGAGGAGAGAAATGGCCTAAATTAGCAAACATTGCCTCCACACCTGAGATAGTATTCCGGAGAAAAGTTTCCAGTAGCTTTATAATCTAGCAGCAAGTAAACCACTTAACTGCATCACAAGTTCAAAGGAGATATACCTGTCATCGAAAGAACTACACCGCCTAACGACACCCATCCTTCAACGCCCGTGGTTCTGAGGAACTTGAACATGTAAACGGGAGAGAGAGCGTGGAAGATGCGTGGATTCCAGTGGAATATGTTGTATATGCCTATGCCACTGATGCACAAAAGCCAGGCTGTGACAATTGGTGCAAACATGAAAGCAACTCTGTGTGTCCCGTGGTGCTGAAGGGAGAAAAGCCCCACCAAAATGACACATGAGATTATGACAACATAATCTGTAAGAGAAGAGGTCAGAAAGGAAATCTTTAACTTAGGTGACAACATTTAAAGTTTTGTTATTAGTATACGAAACTCACTGTCATGGAGTTCTGTGATCTTGAGTTTAATTCCCGAGACTGCTGAAAGAACTGAAAAGAGAAAATCATTGGCCAAAACATTTTTTATCAACTTTCTAACAAATAAAAAAACCTGAAAATTCCACAGAGAAACATGAAACTCAGTTAATTTTGTTACCAAAGGCCATACACATGTTTTGAATACGAAGTGTAGAGGAACTGAACTAAACGAGAACTGTCCAGGTGAGGACATGAACATGTAATTCTTCATTACTGGGAAGGTTATAAAACTTATCAATGTCCTCACTAATAACTTATGGAGTTTTTTTTTTTTTTTTTTTTTTTTTTTTTTTTTTTTTTTTTCAAAAAAGAAAAAGCTAGGCTAGGAAATTAAGAATTTAAGCAATGAAATTTGAAGGCAGTTATGAATTAAACTATTTTAAGAGGTTTTAAGAGTTGACTATATCCAGACACCTGATATTGCAGGAGTTAGTACTCCATCCCCAATTGCCATAGAGGTTCCAAGCAGAACAAAGACCAAGAGAGCTTCGCAAAATCTCGGATGCTTTTCAAAGATTAGCTTCAGAGTTGAACTCTGCCGTGTGTCATTGGATCCTACTGTTACATACGCAGACAGTTTCTCATCTATGGATTCCTGATTAGGTAGAACACTTAATCTCGCGTGACGGCAGAGAAGCGAGTACAAGGCAAAGGTACCACCTGCATGAAATTCAATAAAACTTCATTTCAAACATTAATCAGTTATATATAGCATGTAATGCTTAAACTTGCACAACTCCTTGTCTTAAATTATAGTATAATGTTTTATAGTCATAAGGAGAAGACCCTCAAAAACCCCATTTGCCATTTTTTTTTCCACAAAAAAGGTGATGTGACAATTACATCTGTTCCCTCTCAGAAAATTTTGCATAGCTGTACCTTTCGGTATTCCCAGGCTCAATCATGAATTTCTAAGCAAGCTCTAAGTATTTGGATTAAAGAAAATAAGAAAAAAAAATAACAAAGCCCTACCTTCACCGTTGTCATCGGCTGACATGACAATTAAAACGTATTTGAAGAGAGCAATGAGAGTAAAGGTCCAGAAGATAAATGAAAAGACCCCAAAAATCTCCTCATCATCCTCATGAAGGCTAAACTTCCCAGAGAAAGTGGTCTTGTAAACATAGAGAGGGGAAGTACTGAGGTCGCCATAAACCACTCCAAGACTTTGATATGCCAATATTAGCACAGTTGTACTTGTACATGATACCCTCTTCAAGTTCTGATAAAAAGAAAAAAAAAATCTAAATATACAAGCTAATAAGTTAAATGGTTTAGAGAAACCGCAAGAAAAACTATGAAAATCCTCATAAGTGGGACAAAGCATCAAAGAACATTGATTTTTAGGACCCGTTTAGTTCGTTGATTCAAGTTTTTAATTCGATTTGATATGTGACTATGTGAGGAACATAGAACTTTTTACTGTAGTAAAAAAATTAAATGTGACTGTTTCTATGAGTTTTTTACTGTAAAAAAAACTCAAATTGTAAACTTGAATTGATCATAAAATGAACGAGACCTTAATTATTCATTTTCTTACTTGGTTAACAACAATCTTTTTCTCGAGAAACACAGGCAATAATTCAGAAAGATTTTTTTTTTTAATTCTAGATTCTATTTAGTGCTGATATTGTCAGCTTTTAATCCATTTAAACCTGCGAAAACCTTGTTTCTTCATAGACCTATATTATATGTCAGCTTTGTAATTCAATACTTATATTATTTATATTAATCCAACGATTATGTAATTATAAATAAGAAACACTTGAACCTATATTATTTAACCTATATTATTTATATTATTACATAATCGTTCAAGTGTATCGTAATTATACACTCATTTATATTATTTGTAATTATAAATAATATAACCTAGGCTTTGTTTCTTCAACGATTATATCAGCTTTGTTGAAATAATATAAATAAGTGTTCTCTTAAACCTTCACAGAATCCTTTAATAGAAATAAAGGCATTCAAATTCAACCAGAAAACAGGAAACAGAAAACAAAAGGGCCTGGCACATTTATGCAAAACATATTGTATTCAACCAGAAAACAGGAAACAGAAAACAAAAGGGCCTAGCACATTTATGCAAAACATATTGTTCACTCAGAAACTGCTTTCGTTCAAGCTTTACGAGCCTCATTAAAAAAACAAAGGACCATAAACAGTGATGTTAAACAAGAAAAAGAACAAATGGAAATATAAGAAAGAGTTCAACATCAACATGAAAAATGGTGGCTGGTTAATTCAGAGAGAGAGAAAAAAGAAAAGAAAAGTACCCGTTGACAAATTCCCTGTTCCACAAATTCTTCAGAACGGTTCATTGTTTATTTAGACAGATGAAGAGAGTGAGAGAGAGAGAGAGGTACAAGAAGAGCCGTCGAAGGAGAAGATATATAGGCTTAGAGAGAGAAACAGAGGTAGAGAGAGAGAGAGAGAGAGAGAGAGTGTTAGAAGTGAAAGCCGTAGTAAGTAGAAAAGTGGCGAGTGTTGTGTTTAACAGACATGGAAGAAGTGCATTCATTGCCTTTTACTTAACTCTCCTCAAACTTCGTATTATATTTTCCCTCTAAACCTCCTAAGTAGTATTACCCAGGTCCCTTTTTAAGATTTTTTTTATTTATTATTAGTATTTTTTTTTTCCGCTAAGGGTATGCCCACGAAAAGGCAAAGCCGAAAGAAAAGCTCCTGAGTCCTAATCAGACATAGTAACCACCGATGGCCCAGTGGTAAAGAATTATCGAGGTTTGGTTTGTGGTTAAAAGTTTGAGCTTTTCTTAGGATCTTAAATGTGAAGCATATTTCTGTTAGTATTTGATTTAGTGTGTCCATGACCTCAGCTCATGTATTTTGAATGGCAACACATTTTGTGGGACTGTGGTAGGGACTGTCGTTAAGATCTTTAGGGACTATTTCTGTTAGTGTTTAAAATCCTTTTAATAATAGTCAAACAATATGCTAATATCGGTCATTCCCTTCTCTTATTAAAAAAAAAAAAAAACATATATAGTAATTAACTTTCTAATAAATATAATGTTTATTCTCGTTTTTTCCTTGGTCTTGTCTTTTAAAAAAAAACAATGGAAGTTCAAGCCTAAAGAAAAATGCCAAAAAAAAAAAAAAAAAAAAAAAGAGAGAGAAGAAGAAGAAGATGCCTCTGTGGTTTGCCATATCATTTTAAAAACAAGAAAGATGTGCATTACGTGTTTAGCTCTTACCAAATCTGGACCTCATTTTAACATCACAACCTTGGATACGGTCAAATTTAGGCATAGTTCTTCTTAATTTTTTTGCTTAGCAAACTCTACATAGGTACAATTGGTTTTACATTAGTTTTATATTCACTTTTTATTTATTTGTGAAAAGTTTCACATTAGTTTAGGCAACTTTTATTCTGAATCAAAATTTGACTGAGACCACACCTAGATTCAAATATATTAGGTAAGCAATCTTGTTTATTTGGGCATCCTAATTTACTCCATAAATACACTTGCTGAATTTCCCATGCCGCCCTAAAGTATTAGACTGCGCTAGAAGTCACACTTATTGGTGAACTTTATAACAGCATGACCATTGACCCCCCAACACATTAACCAGTCGCCAATTATGCTGAGGCCATCTCTGAGCGGAGCTATATGGACCAATGCTTCGAGTAGTTATCATTAATATTTGATTCAAAGATATCTATCGTATTCCACTGTTCCTCATGAGACAACAATAAACTTTGGGCATCCACCACATTTGACATTACTCGTTTTTTTTTTTGGTTTTTGGCGCTTTTATCTTGTGAGCTTTGAGTGAATTGACAAGTTAACTATTGATTTTTTTTTTTTTTTTTTTGGGGATAAACTCGTAGTATTTGGCTACTATTTATTGCATCGTTGAAAACAGTGACCGTCTTTTCTAATAGATAAAAGTTAATTTAGCTAGTTTCACCTAAGGGACAAAGTTAGTTTACCCTTGATTTTTCTTTTTTTTTTAGAAGAAAAAAATGCGGAGTATCCCTAAATCAATAAACGATAATAAAATTTGCGATTAAGCATGTGAAATAATGTGCTATGATTGTAATATGAAATTTCAATCTCTTCCTTTAGACGATGTTTAAAGTGAGTTTCCATATGAATTTTAACAATCTTTACCTATTTGAAGACGCTCAGTGTAATTTTATTAAATTCAGGGTATTTAATTTTCCTTTCATTCACACTAAAAAAAAAAATAGATTTGATCAATCAAGCCGACCCAAAACTACCCCTTTGCTATAGAAAAGTCAAATCAAGATAATTGCTTAGGATGATTATTGGCACAAAACTATGTAGATCATTAATGAAGTGAAGGGACTAAATTATTTGGGAAAATCTATAAGAAATAGACAAAAGCAGCCAGCCGGTGCGCCTTCTGCAAAATCTAGTTTTGGAATGCAAAATATGTTCAGTGTATTAAAGGTTCGTGAGAAATAAAATTAAAAAAAAAAAAAAGCATTTATTTTGATTTTGGTAAGCGAGAAAAATAAGAGATTTTCAAAGGTAGAATCGATCTTTAGACAATCTGTTGTCAAGTGGTAGGAGAACGTTTCTGTCTCTTTTGCATTATTTCCTGCAAGTATTGGGTCTAGTGCTGGAACTTCGGGTCGGCGGGCCGCCCGAAGCCTGAATTTTTTCGGGCTCGGGCGGGCCGGCCCAATTCCCGCCCGTCCAAGCAAGAAATTCGGGTTCGGGCTCGGGCAGCCCGGATTTGACATGTCCACCCTTGCCCGCCGCCGTCTAACCACCGTATACCGCCGTCCGCCGGGATTTTTTTA